CAGTCAATCAATTGCTTAATGAGGTAAAAAAAATGAAACAATTTTCTTTTTTCTTTTTTTTGAAATCTTGAGAAAAATAATTGATCAAGTTAGCCAAATGAAAAAAAAGAAAGAAATGAATTCTACTTCTGCTGCAGCATTTATCCGATTATCATTATGATGATTAAGAATTTAGAATCACTAATTGGGCACCATTATTTTTGTTTTGTAATGCAAAAAAAAAAAATTGTTTGAATTAATTTTTTTGATTGACATTCAAACAAACGAAAACAAAACAGTTTTTTCTGTTTCGGGATAATAATAATAATGGTAATCATTATGGTAGACAGCCCATTTATAAATTGAAAATTGAAATTTTTTTTTCGCAAAATTATTACATTGTTGTTTTAACTAATCCAGGAAAATCTGTTGCACTTTCAATCCAAATTAAAATTGATTTTTTTCCTCGTTCTTTTTTTTTGTTCTTTTCTCTCAGACAAATTTTGTCATTCTTTTTTTGCTGTTGTTTGAAAAGAAAAACGAAAAGTAAAAAGTTTTCAATTGCAGGAAAAAATCCAAGAAAAATCATTAAATATAGATCAAAAATGAAAATTGGAAAAAAAGGGCTAAACAATTGACATAAGATAATGAAATTTGTATAAAAAGTGAATAAATTGAACACATTAGCAATCAACCAATGTTTGTTTGTTTGTTTGGCGTCTTTTTTGTCAAGTATCACTGATATCCAAATATGGTTTTATTAGTGACCTGGGTAATCTGGTTTTAGATAACCAAGAAAAAAAAATTATAAGATAAGAAATTATTTAAAAGAAATAAACAAAAAAAAAACAAACATTCAATATATTCTCGAAGAAATTCAAAGAAATATATTTCATTTCAAACATTTTGGTTGTTGCTGTTGTTGATTAATGTTTCAATTCTCGCCTTTATCAATGAGAATATCTCTCTTTGGAAAAGAAAAATCATTGGATATAATAAAAATCCCAGGCAACAAACAAAATAAATTTTCAGGATTCCCCCCCTAATCGTTTTAGGGCAACAAAAAAAAAATTTCATCCAGAAGCGAAAAATAAAAAGATTAACAGCAGCAGCCAAACGTCAAAAAGGTCAAAGCCTTTTTGTTGTTGTTGTTGTTGTTGTTGTTTACGGTTCAAATACGAATCAAGTGATAATCAACAACAACAACAACAAAAAAAAAGGGTTAATCAATTGATTACACACCAAAGCGAGAGAGAAAGAATCAAGCCTTTGAAAAAAATGCGCATGTCTTTTTCTTCTTGTTGTTTTTTTCCCAATGTATACATGCCATAAACTTGAATTAATAATTTAAATTAGCCCAAATTGATATGGGCATTAAATTATATTTAAAAAAAAGTTTCTGCGAAATTTACTGGATGTTCAAACGAGAAAAAAAAATACAACGGTTTCCAAGAAAAAGAAGAAGGAGAGAGAGAAGGAGAAAACGTGATGAAAATAAAAAAAAAATATCATTCAAGTTATCAGAATATGTTGATCATGATGAGGGTCACCCAAAGGGTTAGATGATTTTTGTTGTTGTTGTTGTTGATTTGTTTGAACGAAATTCAGGAAGTAATAGAGAAATTAATTGAAATTTTTCAACAACAATCTATGTGTTTTAGATTCTATTATTGGATGATGATGATGATGATGATTGATAATAAATCAATCGATCAATCGATATCAGCCGATCTAATCAAAAAATATTTTTTGCAATCATTTTTTTTGGCATAACTCCCATTTAAACAAGGAAGCTATAAGCATTTTGAATATGAAATCCTTATGATTGAATCCTTTTTATTTGAACAAACAAACAAAAAAATACATTTTCCATATTTATCAATTGAGAAAAATATTTCAATTCAAGATTAGTATCTTCTCATTATCATATCATAAGCACACATACAGAGAAAACAGGAAAAAAAAGATGACTCTTCTTGTTTTTCATCATCATTTTAAATGAAATTAATCCTCATAATCATAATCAAACATCAAACATCAATGATTGTCATGTGCATATATAATTTCATATCAAAAAAAAAAAAAAAAAAATAGTGTCGCCTGACAACTGTATATACTGATCGATATCGATTGATGGATGTACTAATAATATTGTACGCCCAGATTAAACAAAGTGAGGAATGTATTTCGTACACGTGTCATATACGATGATACAACAACAACAACAACGTATCTTTATATCATTGGGTGCTGATTTTGGGGATTTTTTTTTGTTTTTGTTGTTAAAAATGGAAAAAAAGTTTAGTTTTATTTTATCCCGGATTTTAAAGGGAATTAAATTATTGATGATTCCTATATCAGTAACCCTTTTACATTTGTCAATATTGATGATTGATTGATTTGTTCGTTTGTTTGTTTGTTCGTTCGTTTGATTGTTGACAAATGATATGGATTTTTTTCGATCGAATCATGCGCAATAAATCAATTGATTTTGGGCGTTTTAGATAAGAATTTTGTTGAAGAAAAAAACAAAATTTCAAAACTGATCTAAAGTTACATCATTCAAAAAAAAAAAGTATCATTATAAAGATCGATTTTTTAACGATTATAAAATTTCAATCGAATCAATCAATCATATTCAACAAACAAACAAAAAAACAAAAAAAATGGATCGAACTAATCGAAATGTACAGAAAAATAATCAAATCAATCAATCGATTGATCAATAGAATTTGTGCACTTGAAGTTTATTTTTTTTGCGAAAAAAAAACTTCAATTTTTTATATATTAACAAAAACCAAACCAAACCAAATAAAGTTTGTCACGCGATGGTCATATACAACAACACTGTATACAGTTAGTTGAGGGGGGAAAATTTCCTTGGAAATTTATTTATCAATTTATTTGAATATCTGGTTGGTCCGGTACAAACAGTAGATGTATATCATTTGTTTGTTTGTTTGTTTGATCATTATTTGTTGCAAGAAAAATGATTCGAAAATGAAAATTCAATTCAAACAAAAAAAAAAGAAAAAGAAAAATTTATCGGTTATCATTATCGATCACAAGGATATACACACACACACACACACACATGCATATAGGATATTTGTCGAGAAAAAAAAAGAAACCTTTGATACCAGAAATAATAATAATTTGTTAAACAAAGTAAAGATATCGACAAATGAAAGAAATGCGAAACTGATTTGGTTTTTTTTTCTCTCTCGATTAGATACATCCATTTAGGTTTCTCAATTGATTAAAAAAAACTTAACTAAAGTAAAGTAATATGATTCAATCAAATATTCAAATTATGTTTCTTCATTGATCAAAATTATCAATGATGATGATGATGATAATTTTCATTTCATGTGACATATATGGTTTGTATCGATTGTAGCTTATGAATTATGAATATTGATTTGAAAATAATGGTCAATGTACTTTTTTTCACTTCAATTTATTTATTGATTACAAAATTCATTGAGAAAATGAAAATGTCATATGCAGTGATCAAATAATGATATCCGGAATTTATTTTTTTGATTTTTTTCGAATAAATCTAGGTTAAAAACCGGTTATCATGTTTTTTTCGGATTTGGATTTGAATTCAGATTCAGATTCAATCACGACAAATCAAATCACGATCATTAACCTTTATTTATTTATTCAAAATTCACTTGATTTTTTTCTATGGTTTTTTTTTTGTTTTTTGGTTTTGACAAGGTCAAATTTAGGTCAATATAGGAGAAAATTTTCTGTAATCGAATAAAGAAAGAATTCTTTGAAGTTGAATAAACGATTTTTATTTTCTTGATTTCAAATCAAAGAATATCATTGAAATGCATTTTGATATTTCAGATTTTTTTTTCTGTTGTTGGTTTCATTAATATTTGATTATAATTTTGGCATATCGATTATCGATTTGACATCATCATTCATTTAGAACACAGCAGAATTTTATGAAACAACACTTAGTTAGTTATTTGGTCTTTATTTTCATATGACATTCACACCATCATTAGATCATCAACAAACATACACACACATACACATCACCCACACATTTTTCACTACAAGCTAGATTTTTGTCTTATTCAATGTTGTCAACAACGAAATCGATTTGTTCAGAATCTAAAATAACTTTAGCAAAATATTTTTTTTTTCCAAGTAATATCACCATCAAAGATGGTTGCAGATATTGGCTATTTTAACAACAACAACTAACCAACCAACATTGATTGTTTAGGATGTTAACCAGAAATGAAATGAGAGAAAGAGAAGAAAATACATTTTGTAACAAGAATATATCTTATTTTTTTATTCGGAACACTATTGTTTTTGACACTCGTTTATCATGATTATCCTCTATTTGTATTATAGATATAAATATAAAAATAGGTTAATTCCTATTTCATGATAAAGAATGAATATATCTTTTTCTACATTAGAAAACAAAAACAAAAAAAAATGTTACCAGAGAACCAGAAAAACCAGAATCATCATTGTAGGAATCAGTGTTGGTTTTTTTTCTTAAAAAGACTAAATAATTGGTTGATTAGAATTTATGGGTTACACAAGAAGAAACAAGAAACAACAACAATTCTAATGTAATGACCAAAAACATGTTGCAAAAAAAAAAAAATGAAATTCATTTGATTTACAAATACGACATCTTGTGTTGATCAAAATCATTTATTTTTTGTTTCCAAACATTTATACAATGGACATCATGCTATAAACTTGGCAAATTTTTATTTGTTTGTTTTGTTGGATTCAATTCAATGAAAATAACAAAACAAAACAAAACAAAACAAAAAAACTAGTGGTAAAAATGAGCAGCTTTCTATTCGTTTAGCTATGCTACTATGTTTTTTGTTTTGTTTGTTAATATAGTTGTTACGCGTATTCCAAAAAAAAAGAAAGAATTCTAGCTCGGCTCACAAATATTGTGAATTCGGCAAAAAAAGATTCATGAAAAAATTCTTAATGTATTTTTTTTTTTGGTTTTGGTTTTGATTTTTTCAATCATCATGATTGATTGATTTTTTTCTATTGTTTTTAAATTATTTAGAAATTATCATCATCATCATCATTGAATTTCGTTCGATAAATTGATTTTCGAAAACAAGTGAAAATTAAAACGAAATCAGCAATAACATTGAAAAAAATACAAACGACAACCGTAATAGAACAAACAAAGCCATCAATCAATCAATCCATTTGATTGGTTGATTGGCCATAACATCGAAAAGTAACAACTGAATTTCATTTTGTCGTTCTTACAATTTTTTTTATTCTTGATTAAATGATAATATTTTTGAAATATTCAAGAAAATGGCCAGAAGAAAATCGACAGCAAAAATTGCCGATAATAACAATAATACCAGCGGTCAACAACAACAATCATCAACATTTAATCGAACAATGGCCAGAAATAAATCCGGGAAACAAGCAAAAACAACGACAAAAAAGACAAAAGGACGTCCAAAAGGTAAAACGAAACAACCGCAACAACAATCGCAACAGCCAACAATATCGGTCACAAAAAGAGGTCGAAAACCTGGTAAAAAATCTACAATAACAACGAATGAGCCAACGAAATCAACACCAACAAAAACAAATGCGACAAAACGTAAAAGAACGACAACCAACACTATACGTTTAAGCCAGAATCGTGGCATACGTCGTCGACATTATTATTCAATCAGTATGAAATTAAAAGCATCCCGTGAATATATGCGACAAAAATTATCAACATTAAAAAATCAATTACAATTGATACGTGAAGCACAAAAAGATCCGGATTTAGCACGAAAAATGATTATTGCATTGGAACGTTATTGTGACAAAGTTGTTGATCGTGTACGTATTAAACGTAAATCTCGTCATAAAATAAGTAAAACAGCTAAAATAAATGAAATAAAAAATAAGAAAATCGATTTGAATACACCACAATCAATATTATGTGATTATAATTGGACACAATTATTAAATCGACGTAATTTTGATCGATTACCAGCATATTATCAATATCGTTTAACAAAATTATTGCCTAAATGTGATCAACAATTATTGGATTCAAATGTTATCTGTCCTACCGAAACGGCCTTTACTAATGAATTTTTTTCCCGTGCTGTAAATAATTATTTTAATCGTCTTGTTGAAGGCAAATTAACCAATGAATCTTTGGCCAAAATTAAACGTGAAATTGAAAAAACAAAAAATCGTTTGGATCCACTTAAATTGAAATATTTTGAACCAGTATTTCGTACACCGGAACAAGACTTACCAAAACCAATGACTGATCAGGAACGTTATCAACAAGGAATGGCATTTATGAATGCATTTGTACATTGTGTAGATAAAGTTAAACAAACACAACATAAAAAACAAAGATTATTATCAGCAAATCAACAACAACCATCCACATCGGCTAATCCTCCCCAACAACAGCAGCTATTAATGAAAAAACGACTATGGGATCATTTACCTTCATTAACTACTTATACCGATCCAAGAGTGCAGAAAATGATGGATGAATTATCGATTAAACCGAAACGTTCATATACGATTGCCGATGTGGAAAAGAATCCTAATCTAGCACCGTATTTGAATAATCGTGATATGGATCGTTTTGTACATAGAAAAATATCATCATTAATGTCACAATTATCGATCGATATTGATCCAAGACTTTGTTATCGTTCTTGTGATTCGCCACCATCATTATCATCATCAACAACATTGAGGACAACAATCGATACGATCAAAGTGTTTGATGATGATCGATTTGATCATCAACAACCGGCTAGTGTTCAATCGAATGTTGTTGATGAAATTATCAAACCTGAACAATTTGAACAAATTAATGATGTCAATGTTAATAGTATCGATACGGAATGTAATCTTGAAATCGAACAATTAAACCTTGACGATCAACAACAATTTGATCATTTATTATTGATTATGGATCAGATTTCAAGAATCAAAAATCGTCAACCATCGAAACCAGTGCAGAAACGAAAATCATCATCAAAAACAAAATGGATGATTGCTTCGCCCACAACATTACAACGATGTATTTCACCTGTCGTTTTTGGTTTGTGAATGATTTATTTTTTTCTTTCTAATTAATTTCAAATTTGAATTTTTAGCTGGTGATAATAATAATGAACGGGCAACATTTTATACGGCAACTGGTAATATGTTGACTATGATACCATCGAATGATTCAAAGATATTTGAAGAATTGCGTCAACAATCCACAAGATCTATTCCGTTATCGGAATTTAATCTATTGACTAATCGTATTAATAGTTCGATAATTCAGGATCAAAATCAATCAACTTTGGATATGAATCGTAATTATTGGCCAAAACCAACTATGAAAAACCAATCATCATCGATGACACCATCGCCAATGAAAAATAAAACTGCAAAAACACAGTATTCATCATCAATGATTCAAGATAATTATAGTCAAATAAACCAACTCCCATCACAATGTTTTGATCAAAACATTAACATTAATAATGCCGGTGGTGAATCGTCAAAATTATCACCATTAAAAGTGCAACCAATACATGTGATATTCGATAATAATAATGAATCAGTACCAAAGATTGTACTCACACCGTCACCATCATCATCATCATCATCATCATCATCATCGTCATCATCACCACAATCATTAACATCGATATCGAATCAGCCAATAGCAGTTAGTTCATCAATGATCAATCATAGTTCATATCCGGTTCATAATAATAATAATAATAATAATAGTGGTATGGTTCATCTAAAATATAATAAAAAACAGCCAACTACCAACAAACAAATGATGACTGAAATTCCAACAAATAATTATCGTATTATTGAATTGCCACCATCATCCTCTGCATCGACTGAAACACTAGCCAAATTTTGTACAATACGATCATTACCAATGCATACATCATCTATCGCTCAACAACAACAATCAATGAAACTTTCGAAACATACAATGATTATGCAACAACAACTACCGACAACATCTTCAGCCAATATTGTTGTTGATCAACCGATAACCAAAACACCTGGATTAATGCCACCACCACCTAATATTCCGCCATCAAAGCCAAAACGAAGACGTTTGGTGAAAATGCCACGTTCACCATTTAAAACTGTAACAACTTTACCATCGATTGTACAAAGTACAATTCCTTCAATCGGCTGTGAATTGCTTCAATCACCTTCACAGAAAATTGTTCGAATCGGTGGACCCAATACTGTTATCCATCATCAACAACAACATCACCCATTATCATCATTATTAAAAGTAGAAAATAATAATGCTCAAAATGATAATATTACTTTGTATCGAATGCAGAAGCAAACTGCTTCCACACCATCACCACCACCATTTTCATCAATGGTCAATATGATATCACAACCATCATCACTACTACCACCGCAGCATCAGCCGCATCAACAACATCGTATCGAACCTGAACAGTGAGAATCAAATCCTCCAAACACCCACCTAAAAACCCCCCAAACAAACTGAAAAACATTTAAAATTCTCATTTCTTTCTATTTTTCTATTGCATATAATTGATTGATTGGATATGCATTTTTGGAATGTTTTTTTTTGCACGAAAAACATTTTTTTCTTTTTGATTCGAATTTAATTGAACTGATTCTGTCGAATTGATCTCATGCTTCTTGTTGTTTTAATATTTGGCAGTTTTTTATTTCGTCCCTTTATTTTGTCATGCATTTTTATCATTATCCTTTTTTAATTCAAATAATCATTATGTTTGTCTTTGTTTGTTTTGTTGATTTTTATTTTTCATTTGGTTTGGTTTGCGTCTTTTTTTCCCTGTCCTCTTTACATTTGATTATTTTTACATTACAACAAATACTTTTTTTCTTGTTCCTGAATCCATCATTGATTGAATTGAATGATATAAATTGAGATTTTCTTTTTAGATCCAGTCAACATCATCAGCCACAACAACAACATCAACGATCATCATTCATTATGAATCAGGTAACAACAACAACAACAACAGTTCCAACAGTTCGTACAACAATGACAATGACAACAACCGAAAGCAGTATTCTTGCACATCACCAACAACAACAACAACAATTTGTTCCAATAACATCATCATCGCCGACGAAGATCAACAACAACAACAATCAAAACATACAGCAAGCACATAAACAACAATTTGTTGTCAATATGGCAATGAATGAAATAACATTTGTTGGACAACATCAGCCATTAATTTCATCGAACAATACAGCTAAAACAACACAACCACCACCATCATTAGCATTGAAAAATCGTCAAAGAAAAACACGAACGATCAATATGATTGATACGAATGATAATAATCGATATAATCGTCGTGGTCGACGTCGTACGGAATTTGTCAACAATAACAACAACAATGTTGATCATGATGATAAATGTTTGATCATAGAATCCACTACTACTACTACTACTGCACCAACAATTGAATCGATTATTGAAACGGAAACTAAGCTGATAGAATCGAATCTGGTGTCAGAAGAAAAATCGGCTACTTTGACTGTAGCCAATAATACTACTAATAGTGATGAAGATTTAGATATCAAATCAACCGTACGACCATCAACTTCATCGGATATTGATATGGATAGAAAATATGATCAAGAACAAACAAAAATAGTGATGCCAGTTATGACCGAAATGCAATATCTATGGCAATGTACTTGTTATCGAAATTTTACTCGTTCTATTCGTATATCGGCACGGTCATTAGAACATTTAGCCATTATATTTCGGATATGGTTACAACATGATCCAAAATTATTATCAAGTCAATTGTTTGATAAAGTTATTGCCAAAAAACTAGATACTGTACGTAGTACATTGATCAATACGATTATGTCGATTAAAGCATTGATTGCATTGACACCATCATCACAATCAACAAAATCATATTCGGATGCTAAACAATCGTTCGATAATCATCTGATGAATAAATGGACAGCTATGAATGATGAAATTGTTAAAGATCATAATTGTCCGGGTAAACATCTAATAGCTAAATTTGATTTTGTCGGTCAACAAGGACAGGAAGTATTTCAGACAACATTTTTTCTATTAATGTCCGAACAGGAAAATCTACGTAATTTAAACACTGATCTCTATATAAATATGTCATCGAAATTTATTGCCTATCTTGAATTTTTTATCACTATTATGCGTTGTCGTTATCATCATCATCATCATCAACATAATTCTCGTCATGATCGTGGTCATGGATAACCACCATCGTTGTGTATGAATTTGCCACTATTTAAAAAAAATATATATCATTAACACTGTACATTTGAAAAGTATTTATTATTGAATATTTAATTTATTTGCATTTTGACTTGATTGATTGATTGAAAAATAATAATAATAATAAAAAAATTCAAAATTGAACAAAAAAAAAAATTTCATTTCATACTTTACAACACACTTGAAATGTATGAACTAGGCTTAGATTTGGTCAGCTGACTGTTTGATTTTTTTTTCAAGTTGAGCATTTAAACAAAAAAAAAGATAAAAAGATAACAATAAAAAGGGAAGAAATAGAATTTTAAAGCAAAATATGATCAGCTTCTTCTGGAACATTTAGAAATGTATCAAAATTTTCGCGAACACATGTTCCATCATTTTTGAAAGTATATTTATGAAATGTTCCATCCACACAGATTGCATGAACTGAACGACGATCATTACCACTAAATGAACAAACACAAGCACATTCAGCAGTCAATGTAAATTTAGCCAATGCATAACTAGCTAATTGCATATTATTAACTAATGGCATTGATGATAATGTTGAACGTCGATTTAGACGGGTATCTTTCAATGCAAATATATGTACAGTTCCTTTATCACTTGAAACAAGAACATATTCTGAATCCGGTGAAAATACAATACCATAAACCATAGCCTGATCGATACCGCGACGAAATTCAATTATTTGTACAGGTGATAATGGCACATATGGTTGCTGTTGATTATGATGATTAGGATTAGATTTGTTGGTAATTTTACTATCCGTATCGATTGTACGAAATATTCGTATTAATGTTCCTTTACGTGAAGCAGTAGCCAATAATGTACCTGTACGATTTAATGCAATTGATGCTATGTCCGAAGTGTGCGCCGATATACTTGATGGTGATATTGATGATGATGCTGATATATTGTCATTGGTTATCGATTCGTTTGATTCTTCAACGTTTGATGAACGCTGTTGTTGTTGTGGATTGTTCTGAATTTGATGATAATGATTATTGAATGGTAATCGATTGGTATGGGATAGATCCAATAGCTGTACACTACCGATACGATGACCTGGATAGGCAAGTAATTGAATTTCCGTAGCACTGGTTAATGGTGTTACTTCACAGATGCCCATCGGATTATCACGTGTTTCGATTGAAAATAATTTAGTCGGTGAATTGGGGAATGAAAAACAATGTATACGATTACGTTCAACAACAAATAAACGATCACGACGTGTTTTTAATGAAAGCACACGATTGGCAAATGTAAATTCCAAAACAAATCGTTTCTGATAATCATCCCAAATCAATACAGTATTATCAGCAAATTTTGGCCGTTGACCACCGCCAACAATTGCTATTAGATTTGTGCGATGTAATAATTTACATATCGATACTGATCCAATCACTGATGAATCGATAAATAATTTACCAACTAATGGTTCCATATTATAGATTCGAACACCTGAATCCATACAGGCAACAAATAGATTACCTTCATCATTGATCGATACGTTTAGAATTTCTCGCTGTTGATTCATTATTAATTTTAAAATTATTGATCACAGATTGATTGAAGACAGTTTTTATTTCGTAAACAATAAAAAAAATGCAAAATAAATTACGTCGTTAAAATGAGCGCGCATTAACCAGTTCAGCCATCTATCGATGATAAATATAGTCATTTTTTTATTTAATTGTAAAAGTACAAAGATTATTTTAAAAAGTTTTTTTTTAAAAACAAAATATTGTTTGAAAACGATTTGGTATCGGATAATAATGTTCAAATGAAATGTTAAGTCGTGGATAATAATTAATAAAGAGAATCCTTTAAGTTGTGAATAATTGAACGACGATTAATAGCCGTTGTATTCAATCGTCCGGTTGTAACAATGCAGGAATTCATTCCGGGTAATACACGATTTCGTCGATCCGATTTAGTATCATCATCATCATCATCGCCAGCATTATCTTTGGAATTTAATAAATCTTTTAGATTCGATGAAGAAATTCTTGCTAATTTGGCACAAAAATCAGCCTGTTCTTCCGATGAACATAATGATTTACGACAATATTGATCAGATTTTTCTATGAAAAGACAAAAAAAAAATTAAACAAAATTGATAAATCATCATTCAGATAAATAAAAACTTTTTATTAACCTTTAAATGGACAGAAATTTTGTTCGGTTAATATTCCACGCCAGAAAGCTTCATCAACTTCGAACAATGCTTGCATAACATTAATCTGTTTAGGTATTTCTCGTTGCATAGCTTCAGCAGATAATTGTCGAAATTCTGAACTACCAACAATGGTCGGTGCAAATATATTGCATAATGCTTGACGAGTCATTTTAGTTACACGTTCAGCATTGGCAACATTTCGTAGATGAAGAATCAAAAATGCCAAAGAATCACGATTAGGTAATGGTAGTTGACAGATTACACGTTTCAATACCATGGTTGGACTATTCATGTCATCATCATCATCATCATGCTCATTGTCACCCGAACTACCATTATCATCTACACCAGAATCAATTGGTTTGTTAAACTGATGATGTAATGATTTTACTGATGTTTGAACAATATGAACTAGAACAGACAAAAAAAATAAGATTCTATTATTGAAAAAAAGAATTTTAAACTTACCCGAAGCACGATAGAAATCATTCCACATAATTCTTGAAATAAGTGAATCATCCAGATCACGTAAAAACATTTTAACAACACCACAAATAGTATGTACTGATATGATGGCCGACAAATTTGGCATACCGAATTCAGATTTAAGAATTTTTCGTCGTAATTCTCTTGTCTCCATATCGGTACCGGAGATACGATACAAACCAATAACGGACGAATCATCGTTTCGATTAATATCTTCCATATCTAAACGAATACGGCGATCAATTTCATTACAACAATGAATCAATAATGGCGGTACACATGGTCGGACTGAATCCGGCACAAAATCGCCAATTATAAGAAATTTTCCACCAACCATACGACTATCGCCAGTCAATGCAATCATTTTTTTAATACTTGTGTTGGTCGACATGTATGGTAAACATGGTTTGGGTAATTTATCTCGACAACGATTATGACAGCTACCACGACATTCAGTACAAACACCATATGAACTACAAAAACCGATACTTTTATTACAAACCGTACAGATTACGGTTTTGAATGCTTTCTTTTCTGAAAATCGATGTGATCGGCTACCCAAACGTTCAGCTTCTAATCGTGTTGTTTGTGCATTACGTAGCATTGTTATGGTTCGTGATAATTGTTTTGATGGATTTCGATTCAATGATTTGGCAGTTGCTGCTTCCGAAATCGATCGCATGCTTGGTTTGAGAAATTTATCATTCTTTTCAGTTATGGCTGTTGTCGAAGCCGGTGTTTGCAGTATGTTTGATTTTTTCACTTGAGTAGTATCGGGCAACATACAGAAACCGACATTTAGTAATGATTCATCACTGGCATCTTTTTCATCACTAACTTCGGCAATTGTTTCGATACGTGATCGTGATATCATTGTCGATAACTTAGTTTGCCTTGTTGTTGATTTTGCAGGATTTTCCGATGATGATGATGATGGCAATGGTGGTGCACTTGGTATTTGTTGATTATTTTTACTAGTTTTGAATGTTCGGTTACAATCGATACTATCATCAGATTTATCGAATAATAGACCATCATCAGATTCATCACCATCGTTTGGTGGTAGCAAAGTGTCCACATGTTCCAATATTGAAATCAAACTGCTTGTCGATTTAGCCTGTGCCATGGTTTGATTGAAAATTTGTGATGTCTTTTGGCCATCTTGTTCAAGGATCATTTGACGGAGAATATCCATCTTTTTCTTAAGATTATCATAACATTTTTGTAAATTATCTTTTTCTTTGATTTCGCGTGCATAGGCACGTTTAATTCGATCCCAACGAATTTGCATTTGTTTAGCATCATCTTCAAGTTTTTCTATGTATCGATCTTTTTGTTGATTATCTTCGATAGTTTGTTGCCAGTTGACGCGACATTTATCAAAATTTTCAATCAATCCAATCAATGCTATGGCCAAAACAAATGATATGAATGCATCAATTTAATGGCCGAAAAGAACAAAACTTACCCTTAAGATCAGTGAGATTAATCAATGGTGGTTGTGTCATACGAATCATATCATCATATTGTGCCAATAATGATAAATTTGTACCAATCGATGATGTCGATTTAGGTGTATGGAAAACTTTATCACGCATTTTTGTTTTCCAAATTTCTTGTGGATCAGTCATAATTTAGTTTTGTTGTACTCGAATTTATATATCGATGATATTTAAGAAAAGATATTGAAATAACATCCAATTTCAAAGTATGAAATTACAGATGACAACAAACAAAACACCTAAGAACAAGAGACGTGACCGTTGAATAAATTGGTGTTCTGCCAGTTACAATTACCAACCGTCAATTTTGAAAGGTTAGCGCCGTTTTTTTTTTCTTCAATTCTATCATTCGATCTGCGCAGTTCAATGTGCTTCTACTACAAATTTTTACCTTTTCAAATCAAACCACTACAACACTTGACAATTTTTTTTTTTTCGTTGAACACTCAACTCACACAATACAAGCATGCATGCATAATGCTTTGTTCAATCTCTTCTGTTATTTTTTCACGCATGTTCACATTATGCTAAGGAAACTTTTTCTATTTTTGAAAAAAAAAATTTTTTTTAATTTTCGGAAATATTTTTCCTTCATTCCCACTAATTTACCAATTCTTTTTTTTCCCTGGTCCAATATTAATTTTATTCCTTAAATCTTTAGTATGATGATGATGTTATTCGAATATACCTGGCCGTTAAAGGCTTTATAACGTAATGTATTTTTTTGGAGGGGTCTGTTATAACAGTTGCCATTACAAGCACCATTACAATTAACATTAACAATGTTAATTGTTCTAAAAAAAAGTTCTAATTTTTTTTCTGTTCGATTAATTCGAATTCTATCTTATAAAAACACGTGGTATTTGTATTAGAAAGGCATTTCTGATTTGATTAGCTTTCGATATTGTTGTTAAATTCTTAGTGATCCAAAAAAAAAAACATTATCTATTAACAAAATATGGCATTTTTACCAATAAAAATAGACAAAGAATTGAGTGAACATCTTGCAATGGCTAAACAAGATGATAACAATTATCGATTATTGATGATAAGTATTGATAATGAAGTTAATCGAATGGTCATGAAATATACAATGACAAAACAAGCTGATTGGAAATCAGATTACCAACTTTTTTTGGCTGAAAAAATTGATTCGCAAGATAATCGTCCATTCTTTGTTCTTATCAATATCGATTTGGATGATGGTAAGTATATTGAATTTTAACAAAAAAAATTAATAACAAATTATCAATCAATCATTATTAATAAGAATTGAAATGGGTAATGGTTCAAGTTAAACCATCCTCATGTTGTATTAAAGACAAATTGTTTTCATCTTCGGCTAAAATTGAATTGAAAAAATCATTTGGCCCATCATTGGATCTATTTGTAGATGATTATGATGATCTTAGTGTTGAAAAGATCGAAGAAGCTATTAAGACAGGTTTGCAAGAAAAGAAAGAAATTGCTGAAGAAAAGCAACAAAAACAAAACGAAACTTTTTTGCCGAACGTTAAATTTAGGTAAATTTTTTTTTTGTTGCTAAAATAATTAATTATTTGTCTGATCATCATAATCATCATTATCAAATAGCTATCTTCAACCGAAAGCTAAAATGAATTTGGAATTAGCTGAAGTCAGTGAAACTGAATTGGCTAAATTTAAAAATGGTAACGATTATGGCATACGATTTATTATTGCAGGTAAATCGAAAATTGTATTTGATGGTAAATTGACATTGGATGAGCATGTATCATTGGCTCAACGTTGGAATGTTAACCAGACGGAACAACTTGAAAAAATAATTTTTCCTGAAAATACTGGTGCTGGTTATATTTTGTTGCGTTTTAATTATGAAATGGATGATAATTTGTTGGAACGTTTCATATTGATTAATTATATGCCAACAAACAATACATTATTGGCTAAAGAACGTTTCTCGTATTCAGCTAATTTGAAATCGATGGTTGACATGATCAATAGTAAATTGGATACAGAGATCAACTATTTGGAAACAGATAATTTCAAAGAAATTACTGTTAAACGTATTTTTGATTTGTTGTATCCATCATTGTATTTGGATATGTCCGGACAGAAGCCACCACGAAATGAATGAAATGATCGCATTTCTGAAATTTCGACCCACCACAAATTGGTTATGGTGAATAGTGGTCTTGGTCCGATGGTAGTAAGATTTGATGATTTACAAAAAATTTATTGATAATTTTTTTGTCCAAAATTTCTTGAATTTTTAAAATGATTAAAAATTGTTAAACCATTAAAGTTTTGTACTGTGCTAAATTATTTTGTAATTTTGTAATAAAAAGGTAAATTGTAAAAGAATTTAAAATGACATTTATTTACATCATTAATAATAATCAATAATATAAATATAATATGTATAAATAGAATTATTAAACAAATTAGTTACAAATACAAATACAAAAAAAAGAAAAAATCAAAATCAAAAAATCAAAAATCAGAATTTATAATTAATAAGATTAATAAATTTATCCAAAGATTGTTGTTTGGTTAGATAATCACTTTGCTGTAAATTATTCATTATATCGGCATGATATTTAACAGCATAAACAAATAGCTCTTTTAACGCACAAACAGTATCAAATTGACCAACGTGTGCCTTTTTTTTGAAATGAAAAAGAAAATGAAAAACAACATTAATTAATTGATTGATTGATTCGATTGATTGGATATGTTTTACTTACCATATTTAAATTTTGCATATGTGAAAATAATGTTTGTTCACTAACTGGTGGTAAATGATAAACATCTTGATAGAATTGCATTACCAAACGACGATAATTAACAATATCTTTAGCAAATAATAATTTACTTGATGGTGAATCCTGAATTTTAAATGAATTAGATTATTATTGAAATTTTAAAATAAATAGATTTTTTTTTTAAATTCTTACTTTGCCCAAACGATGATCAGATGATGAACATGAATCCATTAATGTTTGTGCAATTACACTTAGATTTGAATCGATTGTTGGTGTTTTGTTTACATCCACTATAAAATTTGGATTTTTAATAAAATTTACCCAAAATCTTAATGGTAAACAATTAGATTTCCATGCATGTACTACATCAGGATCGATTATATTGTACATAATTGCAGCTTCGTCCAATAGATCGAATATCCATTTGATTGATACTATAAACAACAACAAGAAATTTTTAAAATGAAATAATTGATGATCAAAAAAAAAGCCAAATATACATACCAGGTAAAGCATCATTGACAACAAGAATAGTATGAAAAAAATCATCAATAAATTTTTGTATAGTTCCTTTGGTTGATAAAAGTCTAGTAAGAAATATTTCCGGTATTGCTTTATGCATTAATACTGAACCAGATGATGAACTAGATGATTCTTTACTCATATCATCAAATGATGGTTTAACTAGATGCCAAAAACGATCATTATCAACATCGGTAGAAAAACCATTTAATGTTTGACAACTAATTGGTGAACTAGCCAATAATGGATATATTGCTGATTTTTTATTTGTCATATATAATGTTGCTGTTTGATGTTTAAGCATTGAATTTTTAGTTATTAACATAACTAATGACATATTTTTAACATTATAATGTTTTAATGTATTTAATCGTTGCCAACAAGCACCATGATGTTCACGTTTTGATGTTGAATCAATATCATGTAATAATATATGATTACCACATTGATCACGCCATTCAAGATCAAATTCATGTATAGATAAACGCATTGAAAATGGTGTATTTTTATAAATAATATCCAATATTTTCGTTTTCACCTGATTTATTGTATCACAGTCATTTACACGTATATGATATTTATCTAATGGTTTTTCCGGCTATAATCAAATCAAATAGATTAATTGAATATGTTGATTGAGTAATTTTTTTTCGCAAATAAATACCTGAAATACTTGTAAAATTAATTGTTCATAATTACTATAATGTTCACGTAATAAACGTTCTTCAGATAATGAATATCTAGCATCATGTGTTATAACATCGATTGGTCCTTTTTCAATTTGATGTTTAATTGCCGAAAATAACATAAACAATTGTGAACCAGCATAATTTTTCATATAATCATACATAGTTAATGCTAACCAATTTGTAAGCATTTTTTCCACAACAGATTCAGTACGACGTAACATTAATTGTGGATATTTTGATGTAACAGATTTTTCAACTAATTGTAATAATAATGTACGTAAAACATCGGTTGCATATTCCATACGTTCCATTAGTATGACCATCAATAATGATGCAACATTTACACTGTTTGAGAAAAAAAAATTGAAACAAAACAAATAATGAGAATATAATAAAGAAATCCAAAAAAAAATAAAATAAACATACCGATCACGAATATTGAATGATGGTGAATTTTCCAATGTATTTAGGAAACAAATCAAAAATGATTTATTATAAATTAATTGTTCAAATTGTGCCATTGCTAATTCATAGATATTATATGCACATGTAATATTTGATCCATTTGATTGACGTGGTCGTGGTTGAAATAATGGATGATCATCAACACCCGGAAAAAATACTTTCATTACATAATTACGATATTCCAATATTGGTACACCACAATTTTCAAGATCATTACTTAAATCGGTCATATCAGTTTGTAATTCGGCAAATGCTTGTTTACATTCAGACCGTACACTATTTTCTAATGTATCCATTTGCATTTGTATTCGTTTATATTCACGTTCAGCTAATAATGATTTATGTCTCATAAATACAAATGATACTAATACAAATACGATCAATACTAATGAAAATATAACAATCAAACCGATTGTAACCAATGATAATTCATAACCTTTTGCTGAATCATAACGAAGATAACCAATTTCATAACGTAAATTATTTCCAATTCGTACAACAACTAATGGTAAATAAATAGCTGTACGACGACCAAATTCATCTGTAGGTTCGGGTTGTGTTTCCGGTGGTATACAAACAATTTGATTTGGTGCTAATGATGTTAGATTACATGGTCGATTACCAATTGTAACATTGATTTCTGATTCACTTGTTGCTAATCGTAAATTTTCACCTTCAATTACTAATGAATCTCCTTTATAATCTTTGATACCTTCTTCGAATGAAAATGCTTTTGGATCTGGTACATAAATTAGATCTGAATGAATAGTAGAATAATTGACTGATAAATCACGAACACTCATCACCCAATCCATAATAAATCCAATACGGAAACTAATTTTTTCAAATGTTGATAAATGATCATTTATATTACCAGTAAATGATGATGATGATGATGATGATGATGGTGCCGACCGTAATGATTGTGAATCAATCTGTTCTCTATAGATAATATCAACAAGTTCAGCATTGACTGGTGGTGAAGGACATATCATTTGTGATGATGATACAACTTCACATACAGTATCATTGATAAATAAACCATCTACACTGAATATAGCAAGACGAGGTTGTTGAATTACATCAAAATTTGTACCGATAACGGTTACTGAACGACCACCAGATACATAACTTTTAAGTGGATAGATACGCATAATTGTTGGATCAGGTACATAACGAAATCGACTAGGTAAAGTAAGTGTTGCATTATCGATTTTGATATAAAGTTTATCAACTTCATAACTAGCATATTTACTTGCCGTTGTACGGCAACTAATCTGTGTTGATGAAACAAGCATTTTATCCACAATACATGGATATTCATCCAGATAAACTTCTAATGATGTACCAATACTAAGATTATTTCCCGTTATATAGATACGCGTACCACCGGATTGTGGACCACTATTTGGTGATGCAGCCAATACTTCAGGAACGGCATAAAGAAATTTATCACGAGCCGTTGTAAAACCGGCACGATTACCAACAACAACATCGGCCCAAAAATGTGTTTGTACTGGTTGAGTAATACAGGTAAATTGAACTGATATGGTAAAATTTTCCACATGACAAGGATAACCACCGATAAGAATTTTGTCACGAATTTCATCAATATTAACACCAAGATTACTACCTTCAACAGTAACTACTGTACCACCTTGAACTGGTCCAGATAATGGATGTATAAGATCTATACGTGGTGGTGGACAAATCATTGATCGTTGTTCATTACATTGTTCAACATGTGAACATTGTGAACCACACCAAGCACAATCATATATTCGATCTAAATTTAAACATATTGAACAATCGGCACGATCATTATGGCTACCAAGATATTGACATTTATATAATGTAATATTAATACGATCAATAAATTGAACTTTATTCCAAACGGCCGTTACGGTTGCAATTGATGTAGCATTATCATTATCATATGAAAATTTAGTTGATGCACATACAATATGACCATTACTAATACGAGCTGAAACATAACTTTGAATATTTTCAATTTGAATCAAACAGCCAAACATAACATTTTCAAATGCTAAATTCTGTACAGGTAATGATATTTCACGTGCTACACCATTCGGCAATATTATATCCATCATTTGTTTTGTTGTAAAATTAAAACTAGGACATTCATTACGATGACGTACAACATTTGATTGTTGTTGTTGTTGTTGTAAACGATAAGTAGATTTAGACACACGGCTAGAATAATTGCCATTTGATTGAAAATTTCTTCCACATAGATAGCCTGATGATACGCAACGATTCTCTTTGAAACACCATTGACATGACCAACGACTTTGAACACATCCAGTGCAACTGTTGTATGATGCAAAAACAAATAAACATTATCATCAATCAATCAACATGACAAAAAAAACTATGCATTGAACTATTACTTACGTTTTATAAAAATTACAATCATAGAAAATAAATTTTCGTTGAAGAAAATCTGTTCGCGTATCGGAAGGTCGTATGGCTAGATCGATTGAAACAAAATCCTGTTGTTCAGGTAATCGTGGTCGTAATGATACTGGTGGAGATTGACAAATGAGACCATTGGGCATTGATTCAGCTTGAATCGGTTCGTTTGATCCAAATACACATTGATAGCTAACATTTGCCGGTAAACGTGGCAATTGATTGATAATCAATTTAACTTTATCCAATGAATTTATTGGTAAAAATTCTGGATAAATTGATTGAAATTCTATACATTTAGATGAATCTACTGATAACCAACGTGATGATACTGATGTTCTGGTATCTAAACAATTTGAACGTAATGTACAGCTTTTCTGTAATGAACACCAACCACAATATGGATTTCGGGAATTTAAACACGAACGACAATTACCATAATGTGGACAATGTTCAATGGCAACTTTGGCAATCTATTAATGAAACAAAAAATTAGACAAACAAACATTATTGGATTTTAAATACAAATAAAAATAAACAACAATTCAACTATACATACCACATATGGAGAGGCAACAAATAAATATTTTCCACTATTATCCATAATCATATCGGGTAAAATTCTATGACCAGAATCAATATTAACTTGATCAAATTCTTCGGCTAAATCAGGACCCGAAATAAGTAGCTAAAATAATAATAATAACCAAATCAAATCAAAGTTAGTTGTAGTTTTAAAAATTTCAACAACAAAAAAAAACAAACAAAATTTTACCTTTTTAAGAAGGCCATCATGTGTACCAACAAACAAAACATTATAAACGGAACCGGTTGTTACCTGTCCTAATATCGATGTAAGTGTATGTTGTGAAAATGTTGCAGCAGCCATACGAACAATTGGTAAACTTCCATTGATTTTTAATGTTTCCGAACAGAATGATATTATATTATTAATACGCTATTTTAAAAAAAAGAAAGAAGAGAGAATTATACATTCAGAAAAAGAAAAAGAAAAAAAAATGATTAATAACATTGTAGAAATGTTCAAACAGAACCGAACAGAATATAGAAACAAAAAAAAAACTATTACAATAATAATCGACGATGAAAGAAACTCTTTTTATCAATAACATTAATCTATTGTTTTTTTGTTTCAATGTTATATTCTCTCTGTGTGTGTGTGTGTGTGTTAAAGATGTGATTAAATTCCATTAATCATCAATGTTGATTGAATAAAATGGTTATATGAAAAAAACAATACCATATAATCCATACCGAAACGAACACCAAAAAACCAAAAAAAAACCATAGAAAAACAACAAAAACAACAACTATGTTTTTTTTGTATATGTTTAAAATATCATATCATATCATTGAAATCCGATCTATCATTTTTTATTATTCGTAAAACTATATATGGTTGACATAAATAATTAATTGAAAAAAAATAGATGATGATTATCATTATTGAATAATGGACTAACCAATCGGGAGTAAAAACAGAATATTCTCATGTGAATGAAGAATTCAAAATTTCAAAATTTCATTTCATTTTTGTTCACAGTTTTAAATTTCAAATTTTCAACCACCATCATCATCATCACCATCAAATGACAATTAATCAAATGAAAAAAAAATTCCATATTCGATTCGGGTAACAAACGCGTGCCATACACACACAGAATATGATGATGAATTGATAAAAAAGGCAGACAATATCAATTCAATGACAGTAAGTTTTACTGTTTTTTTTTTTTTTTTTTTTTTTTTTTTTTTTTTTTTTTTTTTTTTTT